GGGGCGGTGGGGAGCCGGGCGGGCCTCGCCCCTCAGTTGGCGCGGGCCCTGCCTCCAGGGCGGGGGCGGGAGCGGGAGTCTCCGAGCCAGGCCCTGCTCTGTTGTGGGTGTCGGGAGCGGGGGGGGTCCTCGGGCACCGGGCACGGGCTGGGGGGGGGTGTGAAGGGGGCGGTCGGGGCTTGTCTCCTGGGCCTTTCCCCTCCCCGAGCCCTGACTCCTTCCTTCTCGCTCAGGCGGCTGCTGGGGAGGCGCCAGGATGAAGCTTTACAGCCTAAGTGTCCTTTACAAAGGCGACCCCAAAGTGCACTTGCTGAAAGCCGCCTACGACTTGTCCTCGTTCAGCTTCTTCCAGAAAACCAGGTGGGTCCCCGAGGCGCCGGCCCCGGCTGGGGAAAACTCCCCTGTGCTAGGCGGCCACCTCCCTGGCTGGAACAAATAGCTCCATAAGGGCGATCAGTGGTTGGCGCGCAGGCTTGTGAGAGTGGGGTTCCAGCCCCTGCTCTGCCACAGACTCCCTGTGTGACCCCGGGCAAGTCACTTAGGTCGATCCACGTAGGTAGGTGCCTAAATCTCAGTTTTGGTTTCACAGACTGGGGACAAACACCTATCATGAGTGCAGGAGCCAGTCCAGTAAGCAAGCTCAGAGGCTGCCTACCAGATTAGGTCCCATTCAAAATCTGGCCAAAAGAGGAGGTGGTCTTCATACCACCCTCCTTATAACATTTAGCCCAGTGGTTAGAGCACTCACCTGGGATCTGGGAGGCCTCAGTTCAGTTCCTCTTCTGCCTGATGGGGAGAAGGGATTTGAACAGAGATGTCTCACCTCTTTGGGGGGTGCTCTAGCCACTGAGCTGTGGGGTATTCTACTGTGGGGCTCCCTCAGTTTTCCAGTTGAAGCTATTCCTCTGTGGATAAAGAGTGACATACTGGTTGGAGCAAGGGGTCTGCCTCCCAGGTGTCCTGCCTCCCAAGTGGGTGCTCTAAGCCTCAGGCTGCAGTGTCATTCTCTCTTTCACACCCAATGGCTAGTTAAGTATTTATCCCCAGTGGAACAGCCTGTAAAAGGGGGATGATAATCTGCCCCTCTGGGGTATAGTGAGAGTAACTGCATTAAAGGTTGTGTGGCATTCAAATATACTGTAATGGAGCCCATAGAAGTATCTCAGATGGGCAGAATGAACATCCAATATGAGTGAGCTTTTAAACCGGTGAATAAGATGGCCTTTTTACTATCACAGCAAAAGGCCTGTGAATAGATCAGTGACTGAGCTGGTGTGTTTTTGCAGGTTTTAGAAGGCTGATGCAGTGGGTTATACAAAATAAGAGAGCATATATTGATGTGAATTGTAATCCATATCATAGATAATGTGTCAAAAGATCTGTTAAGTCTCACAAGCATCTCAGCTCATGAAGAGACTTGAAAAACAAATGGGAGATAACTTGTGGGTTTCGCTTTACCAATCCAACTGGGCTTCTGTGATGGCTGGAGCGATCAGTATATTTGTATTTAGCAATTGTTAGTATCTTCCCACTTGTGATAACATACCATTTAGGCCTGGCATGTCCCCTTTGCTTAAAGTGTTTAGTTGTGCAGAGAATACTGCTGATGGTTCAGGCCAGAGTGCTCAAAGCTACATGCTAATCCCAGCTCCTTGTCATTCTGGTGATTCACAGTGCTCTCAGCATTAGGGTGTAATCTGTATTTGCAGAAGAGTTTACCCATATTGCCCTTACATCAGTTAACAGCCCCCAACCATTAAGATGGGGTAATACTCCTAAATCTTTTAGAAAGAAGTAGTTGTATTAGCAAGTAGTAGTGACTGCAAAACAACTTCCCTTCTAACTTCCTGGTTTCAGATGCTCATAATTTTAAGAAACATTTGCCTTCTGCACTGAAATTTTCCATGCTTGGTGTGTACCCAAAGGTGACTTTTAAAGCATACGCAAACTCTCTCTTCTATGGTTCTGATGGAGGGGAGGGCAGAGTGAATTTGGAGGAGAAATACCATTGTTAGGATTTATTTTATACATTTTTACTTCCTTTGCCAAGATTACAACAAAAATAGCTGAGGTTTGGAGCTTGGCTGTTGCTTGACACTTAGGCCTGATGGGGCTTTTGCTTCATGGTGGATTATGTCAGGGGGATTTTTTTTAAAGATAAGCATTAAACAAACGCACTTCTGTGCTCCTGCTGCGATTTTTACCTGTGCCTAAGGAAGTTGTGCTCCTCTGACTTCATTACATATTTTTCCTGTTTGGCATGACCAGAGGTCTTGCATGTACGAGGGCTGATGCATGAGGGGAAACTGCAATTTGCTAATTGAAATAAAATTAATAAAAATCCTCCCGGAAGAACTGCCTGAATGTCAGAGACAGAAGAAAATCATAAGTGCAGGAGGAAGTCTCAGATCCTACAATTTGTCTGTCCAGAATCATTGCTGCATTCTACAACAGGCTGCTAATCGGAATTTAGGATTTTTTAAAAGAAAATCAGTTTTTTTATTTTCAAAAAATATAATCACCTCAACGTAAATTGATCAACACTAGTAGAATCCCAGGCAGGAAGTCATGCCAGTATCTTCCCTAACTCAGGCCCACTCAGATGCAAAGATGGCACAAACTACAGGCAGTTTTCTCTTACTCATTTAAAAAAACCTTAATTGTGGGGGAAACAATTCCCCACCTCACTAATTTGATTGATTTTGCACATGCATAATCTTATACTAGCAAGTACCCCAATCCTGCAAACTGACACATGCTTAACTTTGTGTGCACAAGTAGCGCCTTTGAATTCAGTGTGTAAATGTTTGCAAGCAGTATTAAGGATTAACAAATTTGGCCTAAAATTTGAATTTTGTCTTAAGTTTTTAGTGTCTCCTGATCCTGGAAAGGTACTGGGATTTTAAAGTTAACGTTTAAATGCTTTTTTTAATTCATGGCAGTCTTGTCCAATGATGTCTTTCATGAGACTTACTAAAATGTTCTAATTAAACATGGAGGGGGCAGGTGAGGGGAGAGAGACTGTGATCAGGTACCTAATTTAACGCCCCCACATGCTCCTTTTTATCATAATTGTAATTTGAGTATCTTTCAGAATTGTCACCAGGAATTAGGTTAGTCTTGTGTTGTATTATAACCAGACCTTGGACTTATTCCTTAAAGAACCTCACACATCTGGAATTTCAAATTCATACATCAGCCTGAGACCAATAGGAATGATTCTACATTCTTTCATTTCAAGCTCTGATGGAACACTTGAATTAATCTTCTCCTGCAGGTTTTGGCAGCCTTATGTTGCAGTACTGAGACTCTGAAAGTGAAACTGATGTTTTTAATCCCCATTGTCCCAGACTGGGAGTCATGCAAAACATAAATAGCATAAATAATAACAAATGAATTGACTACTTAAAACTTTCACTTTCAATAACTGAAGATGGGTAAAACAAACTGGCTTACTACACATTAATATTGTCACTTTATAGCAGTATATTGCATTAATACATATATTTCATCTAAGTTGTATACCATAGAGATGGGAGTGTAGAAGCTGCTTAAGTGTGGTATGCATTGCAACAGCTTGGATTTAAACAAAACTTGTGGTCTGAACAAGTATGTGCCGAGAATGGTTTGTTATAAAGGCAGCTTTTTGGGTACTGGAGCTTGAAAGAGGGGAGGAGAGCTATTGTGGCATGGGGAAGATGGCTGAATAAGACAGCAGTAAAGAAGCTATAGGGGAAGTAAGTTATCCTTTCCAGAAGCCCTTTTTGACTTGACTTATTCAAAAAGGCCAGGTAGCGTACCTGAAAATAAAGTCTGGGACTCTGGGCTTCTGGTGGGAAGAGAGCATTGCATAAAGGCCACACTTGCTACCTTTGATCCATTAGTCTGTTCTAATCTGTGTCTTACTCCTGGAGAATAGCCCCACTAAAACCAGTTGTAGGGCTTGAAGTTGCCAGATTTTTAGTTAGACTGTAGCCTCACTAGTGGGATTCGGAACTGTGCTCTGACTAGAGCCTGCTAATCCTTGCACCTGAAGCCCCTGAGATTTTGGCCTGGTGGACTCTGCTTAGAAGCACCATCTTTCATATGTCTGACTAGTAGGTGTCTGATAAATGTGAAGGTCCACATCCTGCTGCGTCCCCCATGCAAACCAGTAGCTGAAAGGGAGAAGAATTTCTCTTTTCAGCCCTCCAAAGCCTCCTGACAACTGGTTGGGATGTAGCTTTCTGCTAACTGAAGCATGGTGCTTCCTTGTGACCAACTCCAGTGCCTGCCTGTGCTCCTAGTCTTCCCCAGGAGCCGTGTGAAACTGACAGAAGTCTTGGCAGTTTCACAGCTGCTTGCAGGGTTCTAAATGGAGGGGTGGGTTTACACCTCTCTCTGTAATTGTTTCAGTTTGCAGACTCAAGACAAGACTATCGGTTTATTCTTGGTTTATGTTTTCAAGGCTATCCTTATAACTGAGAGGTCTAGAAATAATGCACTAATGAAATGAAAGCCTAGATTTTTGCAGAGTCTGAGTATATTGTGCAGGCCCCCAAAATACGTCAACCAGGGTGAATGTATGACACATCTATTTTAGTCTCACTTCACGCTGCATTAGTGAGACTATTCTGGGATGCAGTGCACTTGCTTTTAAAGCCAGAACAAGAGGAAATACAATTTTAAGACAGCTTTGAGGAAAAGAATTTGAGACTAAGGGAAAGATTAAAGGCACTTGAATGTTTTTAAACTGAAATGGTGGTGAACTTTCACATTCTTTTCCCTTCCCCCTCTCCTTAAATGCAAGTAAGTCTTTACCCCAAGTAAAAGGAGGGAAGGAAAAAAACAGGAGAAATAGCTTTTGGGGCTCTTCCATGTTATTAATGAAGACTTCTGCAACAGGTGTTCAATTACCACTAAAATGTCTCTTCTGCCCTCCACCCCCGCAAAGTTACTCTGGGATCGGCATTAAGTTGGTGTCTTTCTCATGTATCATCCCTAGTAATAAAGATTCTGCAGCCAAACAGGCTCTGTGACACCTTTACAGCACCTTACACTTCTGGAAAGCCAAGGAAGGACAAGTGATTAGATTTTGGTAAATTCCAATGATGTACAAAAAGGGATTGAATTCAGTTCACTCTCCCTGAGATGTCTTGGCACTTTAGGGCTCTCAGAAGTAAAGACAAGCAATTAATTTTTAGTCACTGAAATCAGTAGGTCTCTTTAGATACGCACGGGGGCAGATCTTAAGGTTGATGGTGTCAGTTTACTTAGTTCCTAAATTAATGAAGGACAAATTCAACTTGGATATTAGAAAATTCTGATAACGCTGTGAGATGGGAATGGTCTAATGAGATTTCCGTGCCAAAGTCAGGTGTCATGGTTAGACACTTCTGGACAGGATATTTTTAGAGTCCTTCCTGCTGGACTTGTTGGCCAAGTGGGCCTCTCCCTGCCACTTCACCTGTAGTTCGCCTACTCTACAGTAATCCTGATTACCGCCCATGTTCCCAATATCTAAGCCACTGCACAAGTGTAGGAGTTAATAGAGAACCATTGTAAGTACTGGGGCTTGATGGAAAAAGAAACTTGCGTACAGGATATAAGAAAGCAGAATGCCTTAGCGCTGCGTGAAAAAGCCCCTCTTCATGGAGACCACCACCTGTGTCCCACATGCTGCTCAGTGGCATGCCTAAGAGAGTAGGCTAGGATGAGCACTGAGGCATCATGCACACCTTTTAATGCTAGGCAGTGAAGGTGCATTACCTTCTGTGTAGCCCTGTCTATGGGAAACACTACAGGCAGAGCCCCCACCCTTCAGTTCCATGTAGTACACATACTGAAGTGAAAAGCAACAGAGGGAGTATAGTAGGGCTGGGTGGTAACAATGACCTGTGAGTTAATTTGTGTTAATCAGCAGAGCTGACACTGGCGGTCTGGGTCTGTAGTTAGCTCCTGCTCGGTGGCTCGGTTCTCAGTGGTCAAGGCAATGTTTTAAGTGCTACCTTGAATGCAAGATTTAGAGGAAACCTTTTTATTGGTTGCATCACTATTTTTCCACGAGCACATGCTCTGCAGTGAGTTAATACAGCAACTGCTGCCAAAATTACTTTGTTCTTGGCATCATTGTGGCGATAGGTCTGTTTGAGGGTGGGGAGATGCTATTGTAAGAGAATTTTAAGTAATTAAATGCTGTGTGTTTGCAGTGTTCAGGAATTCATGACCTTCACAAGCCAGCTGATTGTAGAGCGGTCAGTGCTGGGCAGCCGAGCGTCAGTGAAGGAACAAGGTAAGAGGACACAAGGGCCTTGATCACACAGAGTTACGGTCGATAATGTACCGGAATGCAGATTTTCTGCATCTTGCGAGATCCAGAGCAGCTGTGTGCCTTGGAGAGTTTAATTCTTTTCCCTGGGCGTCTGCTTCTCCAGAGAATCTGTTGCTGGCTACTGTCCCCCTCCCTATCATTGCGATCAGCAGGAGCTGTTTCTCAGGCTATGCAAGTCATGCAGATTACTAATCTGGCCTAAATTGCTTGATTAAATTGCAAAGCACCTAATGCCCAATGAAAAATGGATGTCTGGAGTCCTGGCTGGATGAGACACGGCTGGCTCTTAACATCCACCCTGAGGTGTGGCACGACTTGTAGGAATTTCTCCAGTGACAGCCACCCATACTACTACTGTAGTACTGAGCATTCCTGGTTGCTGATGTCATGTCATGTCCTCTCCTCTGCCTAAGTAGCTCTGGCATCCCCTAATGGCAGTGTGGCACATGCATGAGAAATCTGCACCAAAGGGTTAACCATGCCTATCTTTTGTGTGTGTATCTGGGAACTTCCTCCATTTGTAGACTAAACTCAGGGTTCCCTGAGTAACCATATTGGTCTCTGATTGGCAGTATTGATTCTGTCGGGCCAGGAGGTGCGCAAAAGATTGTGAGGTGGGAGGGAGTCTGGATTTCAGTCCATACTGGACCCCAGCCAAGTCACATGCTGACTGGCACTTCTGCTGTCCCAGCTGGAAAATCAAGTAAGCGCAGGAACCTGCCTGACAACCAGATGCTGCTTTTGAGCTTCATGCCTCACCTTACCCTAACTCCACACAAGCCCTGCCGCTGAACTGAGCCTCACACGTGCACTGCCTGAACTCCCCTCTCCAGTCCACAGAGCCGCTCAGATCTTCCTGCCATTACTTTCACCCCACCCCACTGGAATCCCTCTGCTGGCTTCTCCTGCGTAGAGTTCAAACTCCATGTCTCTGTGCTCAAGGCTGTGGACTGCAATGCTCCACCTGATACAGCCCTTGTCTTCCTGTCCCATCATTTGTACGCTTTTCTCTGCCATCACCTCTGTCTGCCCTAACTCCTGACTCCTAGCCTTGTTCCATACACCTCCCTAGTCCTGGAACACCCTGTATGCCACATCTCCTTGCTCCAAACGTTCTTAAAACTGTCTTCTCATGCCCCCTTACCTACACTAATAGTATGTAATAGTGAGTCATTAAATATTAACACCCTAGAACCAATAGAACATGTAACCCAAACAACTTGAATGGCCTAGTTGTATCTTACCTCCCTTCCTCACCTTTGTTTAACTTAAATTGTACACGCCCTTCCTTGGTTACATTTGTCATGCACCATGTGTGCCATGGGGGAACAGAAATGATCCAACTCACTCAGCACTCTTGTGTGCTGCCTCTGGTCTTCCCTGGGGAGAAATACATTGCATCCCCTTCTACTGCTTTCCTAGTGAAACCCATGTGCTGCCTCTGAGCTAAGTGTTGCCAAAATGTGAACCCTAGATCTTAGTCTGGACAGCGGAGTGCTAGTCCATGACAGTTGGCTGATTTTTACATGTGGGTTGCTCTGAATGCTGCTTGATGACCCCATGTTGTGCACTTACCTGTGAAACCTTTGCACTTGGTCTTTGGTTCAGAATACCTCTGCCATGTGTACGTGCGAAATGACAGACTGGCTGGAGTGGTGATCGCAGACAACGAGTATCCACCGCGTGTGTGTTTCACCTTGCTGGAGAAGGTAAAGTCCATTTAGGGCTCTTTATTCCTGGAGATGAGCCGTGCGGCTGGGATGATGCACGGCAGGAGGAGACTTTGACTGTGTATTCAGAATCCTGAATTTGCTTCCCTTTTAGCTGAAAAGCGACTTGCTGCTTGGGCATTTGAGACTCTACAACTCTTTTCTCATCTGCCAACATTACTGTCACAAATTAGCTACATGGTGATGGTAGGATCTGTTCAGGCCTAAGACTTCTTCATGGGCTGGGTGATGCAGTGGGTTAATGTATTTTACCTTGGCCGACCTGGGTTCAGTCCTGGTTAGACTCCCAGACAAAAGGGTCTGATGCTCTTAGCCTGATACTTAGTATTTGTCCTCCTAGAAACATTCTGCAGTCTGGCCCAGGCTTTTGAGTGGTCAGAACTGGTGCCTGGGTGTTACAAGTCTGACAGAGCTGTATCACAACTTGCATGGCCTCTGTCTGCGTTCTCAGCTATGGTCGCTGCTGTTAGTCATGCATCTGGATGCAGGGTGTCCTGTGTGTCAGCGAAGACCATGGGGCTCTTGGGAGAGGGAAAGTCCTTGGTATGTTATCTGAATTCTAGAGACTCTCCTCATTGGCCACTTAATGTACTCCCAGCTTGCATTCCTCTGTGGGTTGTGAGACAGGAGTTGGGTCCCCATCCCCTTCCCTCTGTTGACAGAGAGTAGGATGCCAAGGAATAACTTTCTTAATGATTCTGAGATCTCAAGCCCTGTTGTGGGTATCTGAGTGGGGAAGACAGCTGGATGCTCAACATTGGGTTTGCTTTGCATTGCAGGTGCTGGATGAGTTCTCCACACAGGTCAGTAGGACAGACTGGCCCTCAGGATCTCCATCTACGATTAACTATGTAGCCTTGGACGGTTACCTTAGTAAATATCAGGTATGACATGCACTTACTGACTGTCTGGATGTCAGAAGACAGAGAAGCAGTAGGAAAAGGGTGGTCTTAGTGGGTAGGCTGCTGGCCTAGAACTTGGGAGTGCTTGGTTCAGCTCCCTGCTCCTCCAGGCTTCCAGCGTGAGTTTGAGCAAATCACTTAGTGTGCTGGGCTTCAGTTGCCCATTTGTAAAATAGGGTCCGTAGCTCTGCCCTGCCTCTCGGGGTACGGAGGATCAGTATGCCAGCTGTAGTGATGGGCTGGCTGAGTGCCTAAGGTGAATGAATAGGTCTGTTTCCTCTCACTGTTCAGACCAGCTCTGCAGTCTGCTCCTGTCCTCTAGGCCTTACTGGGAGTGTGAGGAAGGCCTTTAGCTGGGAACCCCCAGTAATCCCTCTGACAGACGTCAGCTCCGTTTGCCGTCTCCACAGAGGCTTGTATCTTCGGTCTCCCTGTCCACACACAGGGCATGGAGTGCTTTGAGGGGGGAGTCCAGCTTGGATACGTCTGGGCTCATAGGCCTGCAGACACTGAGCTCCCTGTCCTTGGAATAGTGTTCTACGTAACGTGCTATGTTCTTGCTCTCCAAGAATCCCCGGGAGGCGGACGCTATGACGAAAGTGCAGGCAGAGCTGGACGAGACCAAAATCATTCTGGTAAGGGCTGCATGCGCAGGAAGAGGAAGCGAGGAGGGCCAGGGCAGCAGCTGCTGTGAACCCTTAACCTCTGTGGGGGTGTTTGGCTCAGCCTCCTGGGAATTGGTGCCATTAGTCTGGTACTAGACCCTGCCTGAGGACTGGGACTGCAGACACCCCATCTCCATTCATGAAGTCAGCTGAACCCAACTCCAGACTGGCCTGAATTCCTGGATGCCTTGACTGTCATGAGTTGTGTGGGTTCCCAGCCATTACTTGAAAATAAGCAGATGTTAGTCTGAAGTTAGCTTGATATCAGTCCATAGACTGCATAGGGCAGGCTGGGTCACATAGCACCAGACTGTGGGGCTGCATTTGAGTCCCAGGTATCTGGCTGCCAGGGCACCAAGGGAAAAGAGCAAAGGCATTGGGTCCCCTGTTCTCTAATGGGGTGAGACTGGGAAGCCAGGCTCCCCCAGAAAGCAGGGGCTTGAAGGACCCAAGAAGTCACAAGCCCATGCGAGGCTTCTTCGGGCTCTTTACCGTGACATCCCCAACCTCCCAGGGTGGGCGAGGTGACATCACCATTCACACTTGCAATGCTGTGTCCTGAGTGGAAGCTAACCGCGTGGCGATTTGACAGTGCCTGCCTCTCACTCGCCCCTCGCTAGTGCTGCCCTGAGGGCTCGGGATGGAGAGTCAATAGCCAAGCTGGGGACAAACTGAAAATATTTGGCTCTGGTGCTGTAACAGCAGCTGGGAGAGGCGCGGGTTTTCAGCACTGGTGTCACTTCTTGCCCTCTGCAGCACAATACCATGGAGTCTCTGCTAGAGCGTGGGGAGAAGCTGGATGACTTGGTGGCTAAGTCGGAGGTGCTTGGGCTACATTCCAAACACTTCTACAAAACTGTAAGTGCCTCTGGGGCTCGGCGGCCCTGCTTCCTGACAGGCGTGAGGCAGCTGGGAGGGGTAACGAGGGCAGAGGGCAGCTGTGTGCTGGGCTGGGCCAGCACTTACTCACCCAGGGCAAAACCTGCAGATGTGTAAATCCTGTTAAGTAGGCACTCAGATGTTACCCCAGTGTCTGATATGGGGCTGGCTGGGGCCCCAGATGCTGGGACTGGCTGGCTAAGGCTGAATCTAGCTTAGGTCTGAGTGGATGCTTAAGTGTGGAGGAAATGGCAGAGGAGAAGTCTGAACCTTGACGAGAGATGCTCACCTCCTTGGGGCTGTTCTCTGGTCCCAGCTGCCAGGAGCATACTGCTCTTTGGCGAGAAGGCTGCAGTTTTGCTCTGGGCTGCAGGGATTTCCACTTCTGTCACTGCAATGAGCTCCTAAACCACTCAGAGTGCAGCACCCCCTTGTGCCAGAGCGCTGAACTACCTTGGCTTCCAGCCGTTTTATTGTTTGCATGTGCCAGTGCCTCGGAGACCTCCTCATGGAGCCGGCCCCCGTCGTGCCAGGTGCTGGGCAAAGCTGGTCCCCGCCCCGAAGAGCATAGTGACTTCTAGGTGGAGTTAACGTGCTCGGTTTGTTTGCAAGCTCCCTTCGTGAGTCTCTGGGTGATCCTCGAGGTGGGTGTTAATGGGAGGGGCAGAGGTGGAGGGTTCTCGGGAATACCCTTCCCTCTGCCTCACTCCAGCAAGCCTGGGGTTGGTGGCACGGCACAGGCTACCCCGCTGGGGTTTGGAAGCGTCCAACTGAGCTGCTGACTCAGGAGCTGACAGGGCAGCGGTGTCCCAAGGCAGGCGGGCTGAGCATTACAGAAGTGCTGTGGGAGGGGGTTTTCCCAATAGAAGAGAAGATAATGTGTGTGGGAGGGGGTGGAACTTGGAGTGGAGGGCACTGAACTAGCTAATGCCAGTGGCCCCCTGTAAAGCCATGGCCTTGCAGCTGGGCTCACTTCTGCTAGTGAGCCTCAAAGTGATGGGTCACAAGCCCCAGATGGATCACCCCCTCCCAGATCCAAACCCCGCCTGTCCCACCGCTGCTTTGACTCACCAGCCCTGTAGCACAGGGGCAGTGGGCAGAGTTAGGCATCGCTGTATCTTGTTGGCTCTCCGGCACACGAACTGCGGGGTGCTCGCCTGGAAGGAGCCGGCTGTGAGCCCAGTACACGGGCTCTCGGCCTGTCCCTAGAGGGGAACTCCAATGAGAAGCCTCTCAGCTCTTCTTTCCTTTTCAGGCCCGAAAGCAGAACTCGTGCTGCGAGATCATGTGACCCAGCCATCTGAGACCGCTGCTCCCACCGCCTGGCCTTCACTCACTTTCAGACCTTTAAAGTACATGGGACGAAAAGAGACCGCCCGTGGGTGGGGATCCCCGGTTCCAGGCTGCACCTCTGCAGGCGGTGGGGCTGGGACAGGGCTTTCTCGGCACCCCGGGGCCATCTAGTTAAACAGCTCTTCCTCGGAAAGGCCGGCAAGGTCAGCCCTGAAGAGACAGTGTGACCATTCTCCTGCCAGCCCTTTCTGGCCTGAAGGGCTTGTTGTTTTGACATCTGGCTTGTAATTGCAATGCTGGATTGGCCAGGGGCTTTCACTCCTCATCTCCAGAGATCAGATGTGGACTGCATTCTGGTCACGTTGTTGTTTACAGTCATAACACTAGAGAGGGACTCCAATAACTGAGACCAGCCAGCACCACTGCCCAACGTTGAGGGCCCATCAGCTCAGCCTCCGACTCCTACCCACCCAGCGATTGAACCCTTGGGCGCGGGGCCCGGTTGATATGGGCCTCTGTGGAGCGTTGAGAACAGGCGTCAGTGTTGTGGGATGTAGCCTTGCTGCTCCCAGGGCAGCAGGGGTGCTCCAACTGGAGTCTCGGGGAGCCAGACCTGGAATCTCCAGTTGTTCCCCGTGTTCAGCTGGGGAGTCAGCACTCATGGTGGCGCTTTCCCAACAAGTGCCACCAAGCCAAGGTCCTCGAGCTTTGCTGCAGGGGATCTGCCTCCCCACCCCGGCAGTGAGCAGAGCGCCCCCCCGGGGGGTGCCGTTCGAAGTGGAGCAGGGGGAGATGCTGGCATTTTGCCTTGCTTTTGCCCTGTTCCTTGCCAAGGGGCTGGTGGGTCTCTCCCCTCCATGGGTGTCTGGGCTGTGTCACAGTTACTGTCTGTCCTCACCAGGCTGCTCATCAGCCAGCATCCCCATCACTTCGTCCTAACCTGCGGCTCTGGCCCCCGGGGCTGTGCCGCCTCCCACTCTGCACTGGGAGCTGTGCCAAGTGTGCGCTGTGGTGTGGGAGGGTCTCACTGATCGGCCAGGCCCGGAGCTCCCTGCTGGCTGGTGGAAAGGCTAGAACATGATGTTCACGTCCCCTCTCCGTACGGAAATGAAGGCTGAGCAGAGCCCACCCTGTCCGTCCTTCCATCCTGTCCGTGGAGCTGCACTTTCCTTCCCCCCTTGGACCTGAGTCTTGCTCATCCTTGCCTTTGCCCAGCACTGATGTACCGGGATCAGGCAGGGGGGAACCAGTGTCCTTGGGTGGGGCTCTGAACAGGGAGCAATCACCTGGGGAGGGGCGCCGGGGAGACGAGGCAGCTGCCAGAAACAGGGCGTTCCAGGCACCAGCTCACTGCGCGGAGGATGTGCCAGTGCCACCTCCTAGTGGGCGGGTTGAGCACTGGCTTGGTCTGCACATGGGAGAGCAGCAGCGAGTGCCCATCCTCGCTGCAGTTCCATTGTGCAGTGAGAGGTGACGTGAGTGTTTGTGACATGGGACACTGCTAGCAGGGTGTGGTGCCATCCCTGGGCCAGGGAGAGTTCACTCCCCTCTGCAGACCTGGCTTCGGTCACCTGTGGTCTGTCCCCTGGGAGGCCCTCACTGCACAATGGGCTGGCTCTGTTGGGATTGGGGGAGTGGGCAGGTGGCAGGGAAGAGCTGGGCAGAGGGGCATCAGCAGAGCTGTGTGTGTGGCTGGCTGCCCACCTGATGCCACAAGCGGCACATCCAGCCTGGGGTTCAAGGCCACTAGAGCGGGTGCTAAAGCCATGGCTTGGTAATGCTCTGGGGGTAGGTGCTGCTGGGAATAGACCCTGCCTGGCAGACTCCTCAGCTGCACCCTGCTCCTGGCGCTGCCCTCTGTGCAGCCAGGCAGGGAGCCAGACGCAGGGATGGCAGAGCCACCCTCTCCATGGGGCGGAGTTCCTACCTGGCTTCCCCTCCCCCCTGGAACTGTGGAGCTGGGCTGTACCGCCTGGCTGTCTGAGCTCCCTCCTGCCCCTCACGTTCCCAGGCCCGTGGCATTGGCCTCTTACCCTTTGAGCCCAGCAGACAGGCACGTGAGGGGTGAGCGTGGGCATGAGACGGCTGGAGTGAGCCCAGCCCTGTGGGAAGGAAGGAAGAAGCCCCAGCTCCCAGCTGTGCCCCTGGACGCGGTGATGTTTGGCCATGTTGGCACTGCACTCCATCCCCCCACTCCTACCGTTTCCAGTGGAAAAGCTTTGGCTAGCGGACGCGAAGACTGTGTTTTAGTAACCGTTGCCTGACTTCTCTGTACGTGCTGTTGGCTGGCCTGTACCCCTTTGGATAAAGTTGTCTTCTCACCGTTCTCAGCTGGCTTGGGCTCTCATTAGTACTCCGGTTCTCCGGCCAGCTGACCGTGGCCTGCCAGATCTCCCAGTCTGTGGTAGCAGCCTTGGCCGGTGCTACATGGGCGGGAGCTCCATTTTCAGGGCTGAGGGAGTGCTCCCCTCCTGGCTGGCTGTGAAGCCACATGCCCTGACCATGTGTGTGTGTGGTGGGTGGGGTGACTAGGCACAGCTGGAGTGAATGTCCCTCCCCTGCCTCTGCTCTGGTGGCCCTGATGCCACCGGGCTTGCTGCTCTCTGAGCCCATAGGTCCCCCTGTGCCCTACAGTTTGGGCGGCATTAGCCCAGGGCCTGTTTAGCTCAGCCCCTGCCCAAGGTCAGGAGCATCCATCTAACCTTCCTTTTCTGCTTGGGTGGGGGGCAGCGGACTCCTGTGGTGACCCTATAGCAGTTTCTTTTGGCAGCAGCCCCCACCAGCCCTGGGAAGGTGGTGGGCAGAGTGAAGGGGGGTGGGAGGGATGCTTCTCACAGCTGGGCCCCTTGCTGCCCCATTAAGCCTCAGAGCTGGAGGCTGCTGCCTCACCCTCCCAGTGAGGGCCAGAGTCCCAGGCAAGGCACAAGCTCTGGCCCAGCTGCCCCTTGGCCTTCACCATTGTGAGCGCTGAACCAGCTGTGCAGCAGGGCTCTTTGGTGCTGGAGTCCAGCCTGCTGCCAGGGGTCTGCTCACTCCTGGCCAATGGCTGGGTGCTGTGCCCCAGTTCAGCGAGGCCCATCCTCTGGCGTACCAGCGGCTTCCCTCGTTCTGTGTCAGGATCTCAGGCAGGGGTGTTGAATGTGGGCCAGCAGTGGGTTTTCACTCGTCCCCCTCCAGCCCTGTCTCTTGTGCTAGCCGCATTCCCTTAGAGCTGCCTCCTTAGGCTTGGCCTTCCGGGAGCTCGCCCTGCCACAGGCACGAAACCTGCTCGCTCTTAAGACAGACACCTGCCCGCTCCCGTGGGCATGCACCCGGCCTACTCCCTATGCTGCCTCAAGGCTCCAGGCCCAGGGGCTGCCTGCCCTAAGCAGGCCTTAGCCCCCAATGCCCCAAGCCTCTGCTTCTACCATTGATGGTTTAATGGGATGCACCGCAGGGAGGGGCTGGGTTTGCTGGGAGTGGTGCTTGGACCTGGGTAGTTGCCCTAGCTGGGTGGGGGTGGTGCCCAATCACAACATGCTAAAGGGAGACAAGAGGGAGGGACCATGACAGCCCCATGTGGGTCCTCTCTGGGCTATGCCCTTGAGCCAGTTTGTAACAGATCCCTCGGTGCTGACTGCTCACTGGCAGCTACCAGAGCCTCCAAAAAAGCCACTCCTGCCTCTGCTAGTGCGTTATGTGGCAGAGATCAGATGCTGTGGTGAGGGGTTGAAGCATCAAACTGGCAGTCAGGTAGCCAAGGCTGTAGAATGGTAATTAACCAGCATCGCCCAGATGGACGGGGGGGCTCCGGTCTGCCCCAGCCAATGTCAGCATGGTGTGTTTCCAGGGGCAGAGAGCACAGGGACTGGGCTCCCCTTTCCCAAGGGTGGCACAGCCCAGGGGGGCCAGGGTATGGGGATCTTGCTCACAGAAGGAGTCGCAGTCGTTTCACTTTGTCCCTTTTTTGTTTTATTTTTTAAGTTTATTTGCAGTTTCCCGAGACAAGCCACCCCTCCCCCCTAAAACCGGACTCACCGTTTACACTTACAAGGCTCAGAGAGAAAAGACAGTGAGAAGCCCAGACAAAACGAAAGAGAAAGTAAGAGGGAAATTCAGCAAGGATCCACCGGCATTCAGGGGACGGACAAAAAGCTCCTCGGCCTACAGCTGAGTAGTGAGAGGCTCGCTCTTGAAAGGGCATGCAGAAGAGAGATCCCCCCAGTCCCTGGCAGCCCATAGAGCTCCAGCTAAATGCAACAGAGAGTACCGAGGGCACGAATGAAACACCTGTTTCCCCATGCGGCCACGGAGGGCGCTCTGGGTTTGGTGCACAAGCAGCTGAAGGAAGCCCCCGGCCTCAGAATTCCCCCCTCTCCTTGCATGGGCAGCCTATACCCCCACCCATCCCCAAAAGATATGTGGGAGAAGAGGAGGGGGCCGAGAGCAAAGTGAGGCCTAGCCCCTGGCTTCCTGCTGGGGTCCAGTGGGTTTGGGAGAGAGGTGGGGTGTAGGACTGGACGCCCCCCTCCCTGTGTTCTGTTCCCCTGCGCTGGCCCCTGCCTTGGGTGGGGAACAACTCATTGGGATGCCCCTCCTGAACCTTGGCTAGACCAGAGGGCAGCCTGTCTGGACAGTGCCCCACTGCTCCAGGCGGGTTGGCAACGTTGGGCAAAGTCCAAACTATGGGGTGGGGCTGGCAGCCACCATTTCCTTCTAAGAACCCTGCTCTCTTTTAATGTGGTGTCCATGCTGGCTGCATGCCCACCCCTGGCTTGGTCCAATACCCCTGCTGTTTCACTGCAGCCCTGGAGAGCCCTTCCCCTCCCATGGACCCAGTTGGGGGCCATCAGAGATGTGCCCCTCCCACCCCACCCCCCACAAGAGCCCGGCTCACTCACTGCACATACCAGGAAAACACCCAGATTTCTGCTCCCAGCACACTGCAAATCCATCCCTCACAGGAACTGCTCCCTGCACTTTGGGGGGGCTGGTGCCAGCTGGGAGAGCAAAGGGGGCCAGGGGGTCCATGCTGTGGTGCAGAATGTAGAGGCCTGCCCTCCCCCTGAGCCATGCTGCCTGCCTCGGTGATCCTCCCCTTCCCTCCAGCACCGGGTCCTGGGCTATAACCCCACCACCATGGTACAGGCACCAAGCCAAGTTGGCCACAGGCTGGCTCCCAGCAGCCTTCTATGTAGGACGCACCTGATGCCTGTTTGTCCCTGACACAGGCGCCAGCCAGGCAGCCTGCCCTCCTTGCTCCTAGCCGGGCCAGGACTTTGTAAACAGCCCCACCCCAAACCTAACCGGGCTTGCAGAGGCTGGACCCACGGCAGCCCCCTGCAACCTCCACCCTGTGCGGGCCAAGGTGTGGCTGCTGTCCCATGTGCGCACGGCTGGCTCCTCTCCGAGCTGGGGCAGGGTGGCCCTACAGAGCCGTGACACCGTTCCCTGCTCCAGCACTGCACCCACAGCTCCCTGCCAGCCACCCGCCTGCCCTGCAACTCCATCCGCTGCCCTGGGGGGCAGCCAGCACACAGCCCATCGCACGCCACCGGCTGTCACCGAGGAGCCCTAGCTCAATGCCCCCTGTGGGTATAATGCCCAGGCTCTTAGCGCTGGCTGCGGGGGGAGGGCAGGAGATCAGCTCCTGCTCTGCATTTCACCCTCCCCCGGTGCCATCGTGCAGAGCCACCCCAGGCTGAATCTCACCCATGCGAGCCCCTTGGGTGGCACCGCGGGGGGAGGACGTGAGTATCATGGGGCAACGGGGCACGCAAATGCAGCGGGGGAGGGGAGCAGCATGGAGCCGTGTGAAAAACACCAGGGATCCAGTGACTGCAATTCCAAATGCTCCTCTCACCTGTGCCTGCCACCATCCGCCCAGCCAGCAGCTCAGCTGCTGTTGTCATGGCCCCCCGCCCCCGCACTGTTCCCCCCGCCCTGGGCCGGGGTCCTGTCCTGGCAGCGTTTAGCACTGGGCCCCTCCCGGCTGTCAGCTCCACTGTGGGGTGTGTGCACCCGCCCGGGCTAGAGGTGGCACCTCCCCACCCCAGACAGGGGGGAGCAAGCTGCCTGGGTCTGACCCTAGGGCACAGGCTGGCAGTTGGTGCCTGGCGCGTACAGACCAGGCATTGGCAGGCTGCCGCGCGGAGGGATACACAAAGGAGTCCCAGGAATGGGCAGGTCTGGCCTTCCCATGAGGCAAACTGAGGCACAGGGGGGAGGGATAGCTCAGTGGTTTGAGTGTTGGCCTACTAAACCCAGGGTTGTGAGTTCAATCCTTGAGGGGGCCATTTAGGGATCTGGGGCAAAATCAGTACTTGGTCCTGCTAGTGAAGGCAGGGGGCTGGACTCGATGATCTTTCGAGGTCCCTTCCAGCTCTAGGAGATAGGTATATCTCCATATATTAGCCGCCTCATGTGCCAGGCTGTGGGGGAGGGCGCCGCTAGGACTCAGAGTGTAGAAAATTGTGTCTGCTGCTGATGCATATGTATTCTCTCTGCTCTAGATGCACAGAGATGGTGGAGTGCTGTGCTGGAGGAAGGAGAGCACAAAAGACATAACAGGCAGGCAGGAGAAAAGGTGAGAGGGAATAACAGAAAGCAGCAGGAGCTACAGGGAGAGAGAGAGGAGGAGCCTCTTATGTACCTCTCTAGCACCCCCAGGAGCCTGGACTGATTCACACCAGCTTCTCAGGGAGCTTCCTGGTTCCTGCTGCTTCCCTGAACCCACTTGTGGAGAACAGGCAGTCAACTGAAGTAGTAGCAGCCAGTTAGGCCCTTAAGACGCTGATATCTTCCTTCACTCAGGCCCTGCTACCAGGCTGCTTATTTGTCCCCTTCAATTGAGTGTTGAGAGCCATTGTAGCTGGCACAGAACAGCAGTCATGAGTGAAAGAAGAAAATGCCCCTCTGGGGCAGCATTCAGAAAAAGAAAGCAAGCAAGCAAAGGAAGCGTTTCTATCTAAGCAGGAAGGAGCTCTGCTGAGATACACAGACACAAATGTTCACGGTGAGCCTTCCGGCCCCAGTAATGATGTGAGTGGTGAGGAGATGCCTGATCTTCCAGTTAGTCAGAGTGCAGGTGACCTGGCAGTTACTGTCTGCAGCATCCATATCTCCATCTCAAATGGGTGTAACCATGCACATTCCTGAAGAGAAGTGTAGATCAGAGAAGAGTGTGGTGGAGACGCAAGAAACAGCTGCTGCTGAGTTTAGTTCCTTAAGTCTAGATGATCCAGGATTGTGGACCCACTTGAGCAGTAGCCTGAGGGA